GGAACATTCCATGAAGATAAATGTGTCACAGATAAATGACAGGAAATAAAAAGTATTTCAGTATCACTTTGTGTCTTATTCCATGCCCATTCCCCCCTCTATAATAATTACCTATGCACAAACTCTAGATGGCAATATTGCACTTACTGTACTTCCACCAAATTGTCCCAGTCGATGCCCACATATCCTCTTTATCAACGTTTTATGTGCCGTGGATCTATAGCCTCTGATTATAAGTGTAATGAAGCAGAAGTTATTGAAGCCTTTTATTGATTGCTCAGATCACAAGTTTACTGCCATACTGAATTGGCACCTTACTCGCTGAAGCAAACTGCTGACACCTTTTTTAAAAAGTGACAACTACATCTATTTCATGACCAGAAATCCATTTTCATCTCTATCAAGACAAGAATGCAATTTTCACTTCATTTAACTGATGTTAGGCCGGCTCAAAGCATGGCACATAGAAAAAGACACAAGTTTAAGGTTCTTAAAATACTTCAAGTAACTAGAATGCAGCTTGGTTTCAGGGGGAAATCAACAGTCACTGGAATCTGCGAATAATCTAATATGCTAAAGAAAATTCCTTATCAGAACCTTAAAATAGTTTTACACTTTCAAAATGACACCACTCTGTTCTCATAGGCACAATAGTGGCTTATGCTTGGGGATTAGAAACTGCCATCAGCGATTTCAAAGGACATTAAGAAGGTTGTTCATAAGCCAAACATTTTGAGTTTCATCCCAGAAAGGCTAACTGGAGATAAGGCTGCACTTGATTTGCTGTGGTCAATACATGCAGTGTAAAGGGTGAAACAAAAATGCTTAGCATCTTAGTGAGATGAAGACTAACAAAGATTTTAATTGACCTTAAACAAAGAAGTTTAAAAAAAACAGGTTTTAAGCACTTCTGTTATGAAAATAATATATTAAATTCTCTTCTCTTTTTGCAACAAACAATTTTCTGCCAGTGCTAAATTCAACTCATGTATATTTTGGATCTTTTTTTGATGAGAATGATATTGTTGTATTTAATATATAATTATAAAGCATATTGAAAGTGTGGGTAAAGTCATTCACTTTTAACTTATAAATTTTTTAAATCTAGAAGATTATGAAAATCTTAATTTGGATATTAATAAGATATATTTCAACTTTGAACTCCAAAATCTGCATATACTAAAATTATCTGGTTATTTCCTTATTTAATAATATACTCATAAAACAAAATCACAATATAGCTGTAATTTAAATAGTGAAATCTAAGTTTTTAAAAAGAAACTCAATGTCTGGATTTCTCAACTCAGTGCCTCAAATATTAATCTTTTTAAAAATGCATATAAACACACTGACAAAGGTTACTTTGCTTGAATTAGTTTTCCTTTAAAAAGTACATACAAAAATATTTAAATCACCCAGACCAAAATTATAGTTTTCAACAAACTTGACTAAGTAATGAGCTAATATAAATAACCCAAGCACTCATTTTCAAAATAAAACTAAAGAAATAAAATGCTTTCCTGCATTTTCAGACGAAAAAAAGAAACTGTTTATGTGTTTCAGTTATTCGGGTGAAGTTTAGGAAATGCCTCCAGATTGTAGGAAATGGGTGAGGGTTTTTGTTTATTCATTTTGTTTTGCATATGATAAAATTTAACTAGAAGTTGATCACTCTTTTCCAAGATGCTAAAAATGTAAGAGTAGGATTTCACAGTCACAAGTTAAAGCATCTGTGTCCTACAGCAGTGGCTGCAAGCCCAGAGTTAAGGAGTCCCTCAGTTAGCAGGGTGGAGCAGCCATTTCCTTGGTTCCTGTCTGACACTCAGGAGTGATTGTACAAGCTCTTAACAACTGAAACGGGTCATTAACATTTTAAATGATTGAAACCGAGAGTTTATGAACCCTTTCAAAATGATATTTTTAATAAAAGACAAAGTGCTATATTAATTATGTAAAACTCTCTAGGACTCTTGTTAGTTGTGGGAGCTGAAAAGAAAGTGTCCGAATCAGGGAGACAAGTGGCTTCCAGAGATGAAGTTTCCCCCAATCATGTTTGTGCTGCACACTGCCGACCAGCTATTCCAAGCCCTAATTACTGTAGCTGCCTGGCACACTTCCATGGACGGTTTCATTTTTACAGTATTTCTGAACAGACGGGCATATTTTGTTTACTGACAGCAACTAAAGCTCTGTGTAGGATCATAAATAAAGAAGATCGCGTTTAAAAGTCGCTAATATCATTTTAAAAGGTAGTGCAGCCTTGTGTTTTGGCCTCTGTTTGGCTGTGTTAGCCATGAATGACAGCTTCCCTGCTTGAAGCAGGCAGAAAGCACAGCCTTGCTCATTCACTGACAAGACTGTGGCCTTTTCACACGTTCCTTCCACAGCAGTGTTTGTCCCCAAACACTGGAACTCGACACAATGGCATTCCTACTCCAACACCCCCACCAACAGCACTAGAACATAACAAGAATGCTAATGAGTTGGAGCTGGCCCTGATGAAAGTGTTAACTACATTTCATCAGAAAGCGGTTATGCTGTTCCAAAGATTACCAATTAAGCAGATTCTGCTTAGCTCTCAGTTCTAAGTTCTAAGATGTTTCTACTCTTAAGGAAATACATGTGGTAAATGCAAGACTAAGTGACTTTAAGCTGTCCTAAATATAATATCTCATTTTAGTACACACAAAACAGTATATATTTAAGACCACCATAAGTAACTTCAGCTGCATGCTATAATAGCCAAGCTAAAGCTTAAAATGAAAAAATGAATAGGTTCATAAATACAAAACAAGTAGCCCTGACTTTTCTTTTAAAGTTAGAGAATAACATTTTTTAAGAGAAGTTCCTTTGATAATCTCAAAATTTTAAACTCACTATATTTAACCAAACAACATAGTTTTCACATGGGATGTCAGAAGCAGAGTAAATGGAAATGATATCAAGAGGTAATACAGTCCTACAATTTTATAAACTCAAGATTTGTTAACAAAATAGGAACCATTGTTCATCCACATGTCACCTGTCTAATGATTCCTTAACATGGTTAGACAGAGCACTACATAAAAACGGCTTTCTGGAAGGTCAAATGAAGTAATGCCGTTTGAATAAAGCTCATTAATGCTGAGGGGAACATTTGATAGGAACTCCTACTCATAAAATAAAGATATTGTCAGGTTTAATGCTTGGCCCATGGTGACATTGTAACAGTACCACTATAGTGAATTTTTAAAGCATTCAAGCCATGGAAAAGAGACAAAATAATATATAATTAAACACGATGATATAAATTGTTGCAAATTCATGTTATTCTCCTTGCCTTTACGTATACTTTACTATAAAACTTATCTATAATGTGAAGCTTAACATGTTTGCTCATGTTTACATTTAAAATTTAATAAAACATATTTATTATCATTTTGAGTAATGCAATCTTTAAAACAAAGCAGCAATTCTCAAGGCATTTTCCCATAATATACTGAATTCTTAAATTTCATGTTTAATGCCAGTTTAATGTTTCAGTGTTTAGAGTGGCAGTGTTTAGAGAGGCCACCACTGTCCAGATGTCCTCAGTCTCTCCAGCCCTCACTTCCAACAGAAAGTGCTTGTCTCCAGATTTTATTTAATCGGTGTATTTCTTGCATTGGAAAAAGGTAATATGCTTTTAAAGCTTTAAACAACTTTAAACCCTCCAGTAAGTGGAACCAAATTATACAACAGCAAATAAGCAATTCAGCAAATCGTAATCCATCTTAGGATGTCATTATATGCTGAACATTAGTATTTAAATGTAAACTAAGTTAAACACAATAGCCCAGTTATACTGGTTTTTGTATTTGATAGCCTAAGACATAAAGAAGTTTGAATTTTTAGTCAAATTATCTATAGTAGTTATCAATCTTCTCTGGTTCACTGAAATTAATTAAAAAGCAAACCAAATGTGCTTCCTCTATAAAAGTTTCTCTGAGACGCCCTTGGAAGTTCTGAAGGCTGTGATGAACTTCTTCCATATATCATGAGTTGCTCTTTTCCAAGCAGACAGCAGGAGGCGCTGTGTGAACACCAAGACTTTCATTTCAAGCCCACCCCTCCCCTTCCTCTCTATATGCAAAGAATGGTGAGATGCTTTCAAAATATTCATTTTCAGCAGCCTGTGGCCTGAGATAATGAGCCAAGTTCTAAAATGGAAGTTCAGAATTCACAATGTAAACCTTATTTAATATGGGGAAACGGTTGGCTTCACTTAAGTCTAAGAGGGAGGGTTTTTTTTGTTACAACTTCTTTTTTATTATCAAAATTGCAACATTCTATTTACAATATAAATCCTTCTTTAATTAAATCAAGTGTCCCAAAAGTAACTACAAAAATATTTGTCTTTATAAACACACACACGTACATAAATATACAACTATAGAATGAATACAGATATTAAAAGGCAAAATCTAGTTTAATTTAGTCCAAATACATTAATTCAACTAATTCTTTGGATCCTAAAATATACAAGTTAAATAGGTATGAGTGAAGTAAGTAACTCTTGAGATGAAGTTAATTCACAGTTCATTTCTCTAGAGTTTGATTTGGTTTCAGACCCATTTCTACAATAGTGAGCTGAGTTTACACCAGGAGAAAAAAATACAAGGGGTCTAAGCCTTCAGAGGAGTGGGAATCCATTAATTTTCTTCTCTAGTATAATTGACTCTAGAATTTCCACATAAAGATCTGCTTTTACTTTACAGAGTAAACAGCAAGAAAAGATGAGACCTATGACATTCTATACCAAAAGACAGACAAAATTAGCCCCATTATCACAGGCTTTAGAATCCAGAAGCATTTTGGCTCCCTTACAGCCACTGAGCTCACAAAATACATGTCACAGTTCTTTTATGACACAGTGCCAAACATTGCATCTATAGGACCAAATACATCTGGAAATATATATATATATATATATATATATATATATATATGATAAGGTATTATATTTTTGAAGGATGACTCACCTGCTTGTAATAATTTTTTGCAGACTTTAATCGTGGATACAAGGCCCCAAGAACTCCTTGGATGTACATCTTAGCACCCGAGGGGCTGAAACCTTCTCCCTTAGAGACCCAAAGTGGTCCCCGCAAAGGTGTGAGGGAATCTTGCAGGCATTTTTCAAGCACAGGAACTATTGGAGAGAAGAAAGGAGAAAATTCCTTTGACCCAACTGAGATACACTGCCTGGAATGCAGCCTCAAAACCAGAGCTAACTCTTAACGTCTATTATTTATGTCTGACCTGGGTTAAGTCTGAGAGAGGCAATTCCTGCATTACCAGTGACCACCATGAAGGATGTATTTATATTGCAACACCCCCCATGCAAGTCTCATAAGCTTTGTGGGCACACCTGAATAGTTCTGAAGTGTGCCTAACTAGCTGCACGGAGTGTCATGGTGTGCACTGATTGCCTTATCTTCTCATTTATCACAGATGAGTTGGAACCAGCCTTGCCGAAAGCTACTTGCATTGTCCTGATAAAACTGTAAGATCCATGTTGCTTCTGTGTATCGTTTCCTGTAGAGGAATCTGTGGGCCCAAAAAATCACATCTGGAAATTATTCATAAGACATAATCCTCACCTTTATAAGCCTTCCCATCCCAGGCTGTCATTGACATTCATTCAACCCATGAAACAGGTTGAAGACTGTTTAAATATAAGAGGGGAGAATGTTAAGCAAGGATTTTCTCATACCTTTGTGTTTCCAAGTACCCAGAATATATAAGTTAGTGGTAGATTTAGGAATGCTATGCCAGCAGGAATTTTGTAAACATATAAAGATATTTACTTGTGGGCCTGTAATGTAATATCCATGTGGACTTGCCAGACATGTTTATACACTTTTTCACACAATTAGCTCATAAAGTCTTTATAGTGTAAAATACCCAAAAGGAACGGCAACTAGCTAATATTTTTCTAACTTTAATTTTTCTCTGAAAAACTAGAAATAAATAACAAAATTTTGGGCCATGAAAAAAATAGATACAATCACTTTCATGGTCTTTACTTAAATGTATATATGTACACTTTATACATATACACTTTGTCATAGAAATATGTATATATCCCAAATATAAACATGTGAAGAGATATAAATCTTGACTATTTAATTCTTACACATATTTCTGCTAGAAAAAAAATAAGTAGATCACAAGCAAAGAAAGTAGATCTGTGCCCTTGGTTATGTTACATGTTGTGTATTTTATCCAGAGAGGCCTAGCATTACAATTCGGAAACTGAATAACAATTAAGCTCAGCTGAGCTACTGAGAGGCTGAGTTATGCAAATAGGTTTGCTACTAGTGTTCTGCTAAATCTTACTCTTAGTTAAGAAATCGTGCATTTTAGGACACTGTGGTCTCCAACTCACTATCAAAGCACAGCTTAAAATTCTAGTGTTCATTGCTTGGGAGAATATTGGAGACAAAGTTTTTAAGATTTTCTACTGCTGTCAGGAAAATTTTTTTTAAAAAAAAGAAAGAATGTAATGTGGTGACAGCAGATGCATGCATGAATTTGGTCATTCAGTCTGAGAAACTAACTCCTGAAATTCTATCAAGCCCAGTCTTCAACACTCACAGCAACTACTTTTCCCTAGAGATTTTAAGTACACTTAAGCACCTTACACTTTCTATGCCATATATATGACATTGTATGTACTATAAAAGAAATAGTAAGAAAGAAATAGGACTTAGAGTCTTCAATCTTTCAAAATAAAATGGGTAAGACAAGTCGATTTTGAAAAGAGTTTTACACAACTAAGCACAGTTTGAAACCATCAGCATTTTCAGTCTGCTGACACAATGTCCATAGATCGCCATGTATCTGGTTGATTTCTACAGCTCTAACTGTATCGTCACTCTTTCAGGTACACTTCTGAATCCTGCAAAGCATTACTTGTAGTAGTCAGTGTAGGCGTTAATCTTTTTAAGTGAGCTAAATTAGGAAGCAAGGAGATAAATTTCAAAGATTTAGATACTAGAATTAACCTCTACTTTAAATCTGAGAAAATTCTGCGAGATTCATCTGCACCCATCACAAAATAATTTTCAAGCTCTTAATACCGGCCCAAAGGATTTCAAAAGAGCATTTCCCCGATTTTTCTAGCACAAAATGACTGTTTTCAGAATTAGTAATCTCCATAACAATTTAAGAAAAATTTACAACTTGGGGCGGCGGGTGGGGGTGGGGGGAAGGAATTAGACTTCAATGTATAGCGAAGTGCCAGAACCGATATTGAGTGGAAAATTGCTCCCATGCGCCACATGGTTTACGTCATTAGGAAAACTATGGAAACCAGAAACAGTAAAGCAAAGAAAGCGGTATTCACAAGCAGGCTGTATAAGGAACTCAGAATCTGCTCTGAACTTGTTGAATAATCTGTTCAGTATCCCAGCCTCTCCCTGCTGGAGGCAGTGCCTCATTATAACCAGGAGGGCACTAATAAAGGTTAGCCTCTGAACCAGGGATTAGAAGGCTCTTTCTCTGGGGACGCTTCAAACTAGTAACTTTGATGATCTTGAAAAGGGAGACAAAGCGCAATCCAAGAACAAACAGTGTTTCCACTAAGCAGGGAGGTACAGAAAACAGAAGAAAATGATAGTCTAAATACTCGGGAAAGAAGTGTAAAGCAGTCTGTCTGCAGTGTTGAAAATAAAATGTATTCAGCACAAGTAAGAACACTCCACAACAGGGGGAGGGATGAGTCAATCTAAGACTCAGTTTGAAATGAAAATAATAATTGATTTGTTGAAAGTCACTTGAATTTTCAGAACACACCATAGATTTTTAAAATGAGGGGACTGGCTTTTCACTGTATTTTGGTGTTCATAAGATATTTGCTCAGTTGGTTGTTGGTTTCAGTTTTGCTGTTGTTGCTGCTGCTGCTATAAGACAAGGTATCACTATGTAGCTTTGGCTTGCCAGTAACTCACATGGTAGACCCGGTTGGCCTCAAACTTCTGTTGGCGCTCCTGCCTCTGCCTCCTGAGTGCTGGCACTACAGGTGTAAGCCACCAGGCTTGGCTTCTTAGGAGCTCTATTGTTTGTTTGCTTGCTTATTCTTTTCTCATCTACTACATCCTGACCACAGTTTCCCATTCCTCCATTCCAGTCCTTCAGAAGGCTTCTTCACCAATGATTTTCTTCCATGTAAAACTAGTCTTTTCTCTTCTTCTATAGAAAAACTTCATCTTGTCCCATAAATAAGTGCATGAAATTAGTACAATTATTTAGAAAGGTCAAGTGATATGCTTTAGCCTCAAAAAGGAGCATAAACTGTGTGTTAATGGAACAAACTCTGGGATTTTATTTCCTGTGTCCTTCCAAGCCATATACCTTCTTCAAAGTGTTGCCTAGAAATATTGCCTCACTAGTGAAGGATATCTTATGGACAGTTAGTGTTGGTGTGCAAGGCTACATATATGCATTCCTTCACATGTAGAAGGCCTTTACCTCAGCTATTCTACCAACTTCCTACTTACTTGATGGAGATAAGAACTTTTACTTTCAGGGTTTTCATTAAGTAAGATTTCAACCCTATATATTGAAGAGCATTAAAAGCCCAGCATCCCATAAATTTATCAATATGCATATATATAGTCATAGGCTGGTATTATTTCTACCACTTAAAAGAAAGCATATGGATAGTTGCTTTGATTGTATTTTCTTAAAGCATAGATTCCGTATCTCAGGTAAAATAAAAATTAGTCTAACAATTATGGTGGGTTTACATTTCAGTCAGACTACATGTTACTAGGAAAAAGAAGTATTGCCCAGAACAAGCCCAGCTGCCCAGGGAGAAACTTCTACCTATATAGGTGGCAGCTAGATTTTAATATGTTTGCCTTCTTGTCTCAGGTTATCTATTCAAGTAGATTGAAAGTTTATAATTAATTTAATAATGTAATAGTTTTATAATTTTAATAATTTAATAATTTAAAAATAACTAATAATCTCAGTAGGTAAGATTGAGGATGGTGGGTAGCAATAGAACATTTAACCAAAGCCAACGATGTGAAAAGTCAGATGTCCTTAAGTCCTGTTTGTCCTTCATGATATCTGCAGTATTTCTCCCCTGATTTTTTTGTCAATGAATATATCCTTATCCTTCAAAAATCATCTCCCTTGTTATTTATTTAGAAATAATTGCCTCTTACTTAATACTTTCTACAGTATTCTATTCTTCTATTTCTATTAGTCCTTATCTTCTCCCTTCCCATTTCCTTCCTCTACTAAATCTCAAGCCCTTTGGAGTTGAGATCACTGTGTTTTGCTTGGGTAGTTTTACTTTATCTTTACTCAATAAATAATAACTATGTTGACTTATGGTTAAAATAGATATATAAATTGTGGAATATACAGATCATTCTAATTGCTATATTAGGTCATGATGTCTTTAAGTTTAGTAAAAGAAGTGATTCTTCTCTTCTCATGCACGGTGGAAGGCCATTTATAGCATCTTAGACCATCAATGCAGGTGCACCGAATAATTCAGAACCTGCAGCTTCCTACAACATGCTAAAAGCTTGACAGGTAAGCATAACCATAGCAGATTTCTCAAAGCATACTCAGGTCATGCATGATGATTTTAATTGTCCTTCTAACATTACTTTGAGAATAATAGAGAAAATCAACATTATGTTAAAAATCATGAGATATAGCAACTAGGTGTTAAAGCCCTTAGTGAACCATCACAAATGGTGTCTCAGTGTAAAACATGCTTCTGCAAGGAAAAGCACACATTGGTGTTTAAATAACAGGACAGCGATACAGCACTGAGCTCAAGTAAGCATTTGAATGAAGAAAGGCAGTTTCCTTTGTGGCCTCCAAACACACTGAGTTCACATGTTAACATACAAACAAGCATCTTGGACGTCAGGATGATCTCACATTAAAACCATCTCATCACTGTTAAAAAGTTCAAACTTTTTTCAGGACAATGGTCCTGAAAATACCAAAGAAAGCAATACATGACAAGGAGCCAAAAATCCCTCTCAAGAGCAACCACAAAGATCATGGAATTCGTAATTGAGACACAGACTGGGATGGTCTAAGACTTATGCCTGGGGAAGATACAACTCTCTCCTGAAACAACATTTTTCATTCATAGAATCTCTTTGAACAATACTA